CCCGGAGCACTCTGCAGGCTTCAGCAGGGCTGGGGGAAGGCAAAAACGCCTCTGTTTTTTCAAAAAACGGGCTGTTTTGGGGAGGTTTGCAGAGTGCAAAAATATTTTTTTTTTATTTGCCTCTTCAAAACCTTGGTGTGTCTTATATTCCAAAAAATACGGTAAGGAAACCCCGCCCCCCGGAGCACTCTGCAGGCTTCAGCAGGGCTGGGGGAAGGCAAAAAGGCCTCCGTTTTTGCAAAAAACGGGCTGGTTTTCGCAAAAAACTGGGGCATTTTCCCCTTCTCCCAGATGTGCTGAAGCCTGCAGAGTGCTCCTGGGGGCTGGAGGAAGGGAAAAATGCCTCCGGGATGCAGTGGTGGGGCTTCGGGAGGCCAAAAATAGCTGTGTTTGGTGTATAAGACGCACCAACATTTCCACACTCTTTTAGGGGGGAAGGTGCGTCTTATACTCCGAAAAATATGGTAGGTGGCTGGAATGCTCAGTTAACGGCAGGACATTTCAATCAGAATAGAGCTGGAAGGGACCTTGGAGGTCTTCTAGTCCAGCCCCCTGCTCAAGCAGCAGAGCCTGGCCTATACCATTTCAGGGGTGTCAAACTCAAGGCACGGGAGGCCGGATCCGGCCCGCGGAGTGCTTAGATCTGGCCCACAAGCCTGCCCTGGACACAGCAAAGGACTGGCCCATGGCGCCACTGCTGGTGAAAATGGAGATGGGGAAGGCTGCGTGCAGTTGTTCCAAGGTCTGGTTTCAATGGCACAGCGTTGCAGGAGGCTGTCGCAACCGAAAACAAGAGCTTGAGAGCCCGGTTTCGCTGGCTGAGCACTCAGGCCACCACAGACGCCCACCCACCCAACATGAGTGATGTCAAGCTGGCCACGCCCGCTCTGACTACACACACCCTGAGGTCAAACACATGCAGCCCTCAATGAAATCCAGTTTGACACCCTTGACCTACAACTCCTGGTGGCAAGCTGTTCCACTGGTTAATTGTCCTCACTGTTAGGAAATTTCTCCTTACTTCTCCTTTGTTTCTCTCCTTGGTTAGTTTCCACCCCGTTGTTCCTTGCCTTGCCTTCTGGTGGCTTGGAAAATAAGTTGTCCCCCCTCTTCTTTATGGCAGCCCCATTAATACTGGAACCCTCTTATCATGTCCCCTCCTAAAAGTCCTTCTTTTCTCTAGACTAGCCAAACCCAAATCCTGCAACTGTTCTTCATCTGTTTTGGTCTCCAGGCCTTGCAACCTAAGGAGAAAGGATGAAAATTGCCCCCTAGAGGGGCTGCATCAATCCAAATTTGGGGTTTTTTCCTTCACAGAGTCCCACACCAGGATTTGACAGAAGAAAAAGATAATTCCTAGGGACAGGGATGGGCAACGCACGGCTCTGGAGCCGCATGTGGCTCTTTCATCCCTCTGCTGTGGCTCCCCGTCGTTCAAAATACGTGTCACAATGTGCGGCACCCACCGCCACACGATTTATTGAGCTTTTTAACCCCTGGTAGCTTTTGTGGCTCCCGGTGTTTTCTTTTCGGTGGGAAACAGATCCAAATGGCTCTTTTGTTTAAGGTTGCCAACCCCTGTCCAAGGGTATTTGCTGGCTTTCCTTGAGCAACTGATAACTACCTAAGCATTTAAACCCCTTGTTATTTGGGGAAGGAGATCTGCAACCCGAACAGCTCTAAAAATGGATCAGGCAAGATTTCTGGATGGTTGATCACTAGTTTGAAGAATCTCACCAGACTTAGAAGATAAAAGCCAAGGGCGTTCAACCTAGGGCAACGTTTTAGACCTGTGGACTTCAACTCCCAGCGTGGCTCGCTGGGGGATGCTGGGAGGTGAAGTCCACAAGTCTTAAACGTTGCCAAGGTTGGAAGACCCTTTAAATATAGATCTAAAGGTTTAACTTGAAATGTTTTTATAGGCCCAGACCGGACTCCAAGTTAGAATGTCTTTTAACCAGCTCTATGCTGCTTCCTCTGCTTCAGCCAGCGGTACCACCACAAATACAGGTAGTCCTCTACTTATGTCCACCATTGAGCCCAGAATTGATATTGCTAAGTGAGAAATTTGTTCAGTGAGTTTTGCCCCATTTCACAACCGTTCTTGTCACATTTGTAAAGTGAATTATTGCAGTTGTTATCTACCTACCTACATACCTACCTCAATTACATCTATCTATCTATCTATCTATCTATCTATCTATCTATCTATCTATCTATCTATCTATCATCATCATCATCTATCTATCTATCATCTATCTATCTATCTATCTATCTATCTATCTATCTATCTATCTATCTATCTATCTATCTATC